GTACCTGAGCCAAGAACCTATTCGGGTCATTGCGAAAGCAGAACTCAAGCCGCCTGGTGACCCCGGCAAATGCGAGTCCAAAAAACGCCCTAAACTCTCGTTTCTGAGGCGGTTCTGATGTCGGCTCATTTTGTCAAAGCAGCCCCGTAGATCTGTGCTTGGCAAAAGTCCATCGACAGATGGCAGCGCCCGCCTCGACCTAAACACAAAGTTGCTGTGCTGTCAGAATCTTAAAGTGCAGAGAAGCCCTAAACCCTAAACAGGGTTGAGCCATCATGAGCCATCGACCCGCATCTAGTGGGCCTTGAATGCTTCGTGGCTCCAGTGGATGTAGCTTCAAGCGTTTAGGTTGGTTCGCTGGTTGAGTGAGTGGTTGCCAGCAGGACACTCTGGACAGCTTGTCGGGGTTCGGGGCTTTCCAGCATGAGAGCTATTCTATGACGACACAGGTTAGGAGGATGCAGAAGGTGGGGCAGCTGCTTTCTCTCGCGCTCATACATTTTCCCAAAAGTGCATCTCGCATCGTAACGGTCCTGCAATTGATTTGCCTGCTCAGTGCACGCATCTCTGGAAGAAGACCTGTTTGAGTTTCGGAAACATCCTGTCGCAACCACGCGTGCTAGAGAAAGAACGTAAATCCTTGCTTTTAGGCTTAATGCGTTCCCACTCCACAGTGTCTGTTTGTTGTTGGGTCTTGGGCTATCCCCAAACCCTAAGCCCTAACTCCTAAACCCTACGTCCTGCCATTAAAACCCTAAATACAAACCCTAAACAGAAAAAAATAAACCGCTAAGGTGCTAAAATCGCAGATACAGCTGCATGCAGATAAGGGTTCCCTTAAGGGGCCCATAAAGAAAGGGTCAGGATTTGTATAAGGGTTCCACTCTGAGTAGAGGTGTCGGATTTTCGAGGAGTCAGGACATTTGCCTTCAGGATAGTGCTATTACCACCGCGGGCGTTGAGGGTCCTTTTGCCTGTCAAGCCAGTATGCTTGAACATATGGGTGGTTGTTAAAATTAGGGTCCCTTTTGGGGTCCTTATTATATACGGCACCTATTATTTAAGGTACCGAAAAAGGGACCGTCATTTTGACGACCACCCATATCCAAACGTATATCCCAAACCCATGCGCCAGTTTAGGGCTTTAGGAAACTTTCAGGTTTTGTGCTGGGTTTAGAATTTGTTTCGGTTTTGCATTCAGCTTTGCTATGGGTTTCGACCAAGTCTAGGCATTTGTTAGGTTTAGGTGTTGGTGTGGGTTTTTCAGCCTAGAGCAGGGATTGGAGTTGAGTGTTTTGGGGTTTTGGGGTTTGGGTCGATACGACCGACCATCACACTGGCCAAGCATAGGCTCAGTCGTTTCAGCACTTCCAGTGCTTGCGCTGCCCCGTCCAAGGCCCCAGGAACTTCGTAGGGACGTGGCCGTCGGACTTGCATTGGCTTCGGTCTAAAGGTTGGGCTTCAAGCAAAAGTGCCAGACCCGATATGGGTGGTTGTCAATATTATTAGGGTCCCTTTTTGGGTCCTAATTATGATACGGCACCGAATATTTGGGTACGCAAGAAGGGATCATAATTTTTGACAACCACCCATGTGAAGTAGGGTTTACCTTAGGGAGCTTGTGTGTACAGGGCATTATAGGGCTTCGTGGGAAGGTTGGAGGATAATGTGTGGATGTTGCTCAACAATATCGGTATACTAACACGGCTTGGCAAGGTTCGTTTCTACTTGGCCTCATAGCTGCGTCAGCGCTCAACATACGTACAGGCTTCCTATTTGTTTGCATGGAAGTGCCGCTTCCTGTCAATCGGACCTAGAAGTCCAATGACTCCTTTTATTATACCATGTTCGACGGCCATCGTCACATCCTGTAGCAGCTGGATGTGGTTGGCAAGAGGGCCACGGCAGATCCATGTTCCGCAGATCAGAAAGCTATAGCCGCGGCGAGCTGCGACTGGAGGTTGTCAGGCCGTTAGAAACTCATCTGCATCACACCCTCTACCCTATACTATAAACCCTACACTCCAAAAACCCAAACCCCGAAACTCTGGACGATACGCCCTAAATAAATTTGAACAAACCCCAGGTATCCGAAATCTGAACGTCGATACCTGGGTCCCGAACAAGGGGCCTTACTACTTAGAATAAGTTTTCTGTGGATGATAGTCTACTATCATTGATTAGAAGAGGAATCCCGCAAAACAGGTATTTGGAGAATTATTCAGGCTTCTATATTAAGTCCATAATAAACGCTATCCTCGTGCAGCGCCAATCCTGAATAGTTATAACACAGCACTACTGGTGCAATCCAACAGATTGCAGCAAAGATATGACAAGAGCTGCTCCTACGACTCTGGCACGCAGCACCGGTCGCAATACCTTCAGTCTGTGGTCTGGCTGCAGGTTTCATCCCAAGAGGGTCTCTATATGGGGAATGCATGCAACAGACCAAACCGATGGTAATCTCAACACAGATACCGTACTTTATTTTCCACCATAGCACTGGTTAGGATCGCGTGGGATTTCTTAGATAACCACCTTGGTGGAGGTGATAGCAGTTCTGCGGTTGAAGTAAGAGTAGACAGGGGTGGCCGGCGGTGTGTCGTCTTCTTCGGTTAACAGTACGGCCAGCTGCTGTTACCCTGTTCTGAAGTGAAACAGCCTCGTCGTAACTCCTGATGCGCTACTCGTACAACCTTAGCACCGCCTATGCAGTAGACCTATAGCGTCCCCGTAGGTCCCTTCGACTACCCCCCCCCCCCCCCCAAAAAAAAAAAAAAAACAAGGAGCTGCACTTGACACGTTAGGAAGCCCACAAGGTTGCCCCTGCCAAGCCAACTCCCTGCAAGGGCATCTGGACAACTAGTTTGCGCCAGCTGTGCGGATTGTCTCAGACGAGCCTCTCGAAGGGTCCTGTGTGACCGTTTTATGGGCAAGATACTTGTGCAATACATAATGTAAATATAAATATAAATATAAATATATATATATATATATTTATAGATATATAGGTTTGTGATTTAGCAATATGGGCAACCCCATTCTGCTATGTCGGTACATAGGACCCTTCGAGCATATCTGGACAGGAGCCGTGTCTCTTGCCCAGACATGCTTGGCACTGGCTGCCGAGAAGCTGTGTCGGGAAGCTGGATATTCCGATGTGATTCACATACCCAGATATAGGAAACAGCATGAATGCATGTATATGTGTGTGTATATATATATTATTATTATTATTATTATTATTATTAGTATTAGTATTAGTATTAGTATTAGTATTAGTATTAGTATTAGTATTAGTATTAGTATTATTATATATATATATATATTATATGCAGAGAGAGAGAGAGAGAGAGAGAGAGAGAGAGAGAGAGGAGAGAAAGAGAGAGAGAGAGAGAGAGAGAGAGAGAGAGACAGAGAGAGAGAGAGAGAGAGAGAGATTTTTATCTGTATGTAGGAGTGATGGGTGGTTGTGAGAGGCAACAGTGATACGATTGGAGATTCGACAAGTACACAGCCCCGACGCTGTCGGAATGCGGGTCCCCCTGTTGTGCTAGAGGATCTAGGCCCAGGCCTTACAACTTCGGTGCATAGAGGGTTTAGGGATTAGGGTACCCTAAACCCTAAACCCGCAAGTAAGGTGCCTTGTCTCAGGTAAATTCACCGTAAACAAGACCAGGGGACCCCCACATGTGGCTTGGCAAAGGCCAAGCATACACACTGGTTGAAATTAGCTTCAGATCGGCCTGACACGATGTCGAGTCGAGCATAGAGAAAGGTTTGGCATCGCGCACTCGGGTGTAGGCCTTGAGGTATTCGCGCGGGACTATGTTGACCCTGACAACTTCTACCCTCTCATGGTCGTAGTTCCTGCGTATATACGACGCACGCATTGGATGCCATGAGTTTGATTCAACTATGAAGACCCATGCTCCTCGAAGAGACCTGAAGTCGAGATGCTAGGACAGGCAGAACCCACATGTACAGAGGTGTGTCAGTTAGGCACGGCCCCCACTCAGTAATAGTTGAATAATATTCATAATTTAGATATAGTAGGACATTAATAGTAGCCCTATTATAGACTCTTACTGTATGGGGGCCGTACCTAATGTGTCAGTAAGAAGTAACTTCCACCAGCCCTCTGCCAAATCCTCTGCCAACAAGAGCCGCAATCGCAAACCATCCTCAACCTCCCACCTCTGCGTCAGTTGGAAGCTCAGGCTCTAGGCTGCCTTCATGGGGGTTTCCGAAAATTAGGGGTCCCTTATTGGGGGTCCTTTTCTAATAAGGATCCTACTATTTAGGGTACTACATTAGGGTACCCTATTTTCGGAAACCCCCTCATCACATCCGCAAAGCACTGTGTCAGAATGACTAGAAAGTAATACTCCCTTGTAGTCCCTAGTAGCTGATACTACACAGTATGCTATGCACCACAAGCCCAAACACAGACCCAGACCCTACATAAGAATATGCCCACAGAGACCTGACTCTGATCATTAAGACGACTACAAATATGTGTGTATATATATATATATGTATGTATATATATATATATATACATAAGTTATCTGTAAGTGAGACCGAAGCCCTACAAGCCCTAAACCTTAAACCCTGAACTCTATTCGAGCAACACTCCCTTAAATGTATCCGTGCGATAGTCCCTTTCGGTCCCATGGAGTAATCCCCATTCCTGCATAGAAGACCTAAACCCTATAAACCTAAACCTTATTCCAATTACCCGAAAGGTCCTAGGTGCCTAGATCAGATAATAGAATGTAGAGGGTTTCTATAGTAGAAATTACTAGTATGATTTGGGAAGGTATCTCCCATGGCAGTACCCAAGACCCTTTACTAGGATGCCCAGTAGTACCCTTATTCCCTTTTTGTAGTCCTAGGTTCCTTATAAAGTTACCCAATACCAAAAAGAGAGGCCTTTTTATTCTTAGGTTACTGGGTATCCTAGTTTCATTTGGGTTATTGAGAGCCCTTTATGGGAGGCGATTTTCGGCTTCTTCGAGGGGCCCAAGCTTGATCCGTACACCATGCCAGCGTCACAACGGGGAGGGCACAGGGTTTGCGTTTAGGGTTTTGGGGGCTCGGGGTTTAGGGTGTATAGGGCCTAGGAGTCTAGGGTATTTCACGGTTTGGAGTGTAGGGTTCAAGCTTGAGTTAGAGGCTTGTCGGGTGTAATTAGAGACGTGTAGAAAATAGGTCTTTTGGGGGTTCAGGGTGTAGGGGTTTGAGTTTAAGACTCAGGGGTTTTAGGGTTTAAGGAGTTAGATGATTTGGGGCATGTCATGGGGTGGGGGTGTAGGTTGAAGTTTTTGGGGCCGAGATGGCTGAGGGTGTGGAGGGTTGAGGCCGTCCAGCCTCGGTACAAGGGATGTTTAGGCTTGTGCGGCCCGACATGAGGAACTAGAAGCATGGGTATTCAGGTAGAAAATTACCTGCCCTCCGAAAAGCCCCAAGGTCCAGATGCGTTTCAAGCGTGAACACCCACCCCTCCTGCTCCCCTCCCAACAAGCCTACTCGCCCAGGCTGGGCGTCTACAACATCTCCATGCCGCCACACGGTTGCAGTACGTCGTAGCTGAACCCCAACCCCAATATGTCCAGTGCGAATATGGATGTATGTACTCGATAAACGTACTTGCATGGCACAGCCTTGGTTCGGGTGCTAAGTTACTGCGGGATACTTGCACAAATCGAATTGTGACCTTGGGGATCCACCTGCCCGATGCTTGGGTCTCGGATAATGGTATTTGGCATCGTTATTTGGACCCCTTTTGAGGTATTCCTTGACTTCCGAACCTTTTATGGTGGTTCCTCATATAGAAGCCCTATGTCAACACTTAGGCGCCCATGAGTCCTACGGAAGTCGCACTCAGCCTAAGCATGGGCTCTGCATCATGGCCTCTTGCAGTTGAAGTTAGAGCCTTGCATAGGATTTAGGGTTTGTGGTTTAAGGACGAGGATGGTTTGGGGTTCAGCGTCTGGGCTTGGTCACACAACCACCAGACACCTTGAGCATGCAATGCCACCTACAGAGTCCTGACACCCATAGTCCTAAACCCTAAACCCTCAACTCTACAGTTTCAAGTACCCAGACGTCACGGTTTGGGGTGAAACCTGTTCCTCCTGAGGCCACGGTACAAGCTCAAGAAGAATGTGCCGGAGCCTCACTAACTCTTCAGCCCTAAACTATCCTAAACCCTAAACTCTGAACCCTAAACTTGGGGTTTAGGGTTTAGGGTTAGCTCTAAACCCTAACCCTGTGACGCGAACCCGACACGTAAGACTGTAACTGCTCGGGCTGCTTGGGGTTCACGTTGACGACGGTTGGCATTTGATCTGGGGTGTGGATTTCCCTAGGGCTCCAGTTGCCTAGATAGTAGGTTACCAACCTGATCTTATCTTACCATAGGTTATACTGTGGTACCACATACCCCAGCTTGGATTATGCTGTTATGCTGTATACCGCAGCAACCTACTATTTAGGTAACTGGAGCTTAAAAGGCTTTGCTGGAGATGTGATGTGCCTTGCAGCGTCGCGATGTTATGCTCTGAGGGTTTGATTATGTGCGACTTGCAGACGAATCGTTCACAGGAACCCTTAAAGGAATCCTTCATAGGAGCTCAATTCACAAGGACCCTTAGGGGGGTAGGGGGCCTTAATGCCTTAATACCCATAATCAGGACTTATGATTTATAGTTAGACTAAGGCTGATTTAAGGAAGCATGGCCCGCTAGCCCCCTCCCCCTTGCCCCCCTAAGGGCCCCTAAGATTAATACCAACTTGAAGACAGCCGTAGATAGGAAAGAGTCATCCAGTGGCCTGCTAACCCTTTGTCTGCGACCTTGAGCAGTTCAGGGTTTAGGGTTCTGTTTGTTAGGGTTTAGTTTTCAGGGTTTAGTTTAGGGTTCAGGGTTTTTAGTTCACGTAAAAGACTGCCATATGCTTCGGGGCTGTTCAATCATCCCAGGCCTCTACAATATTGGTTTCTTCACCTTAAACCCTATAAACCTTATGCCCCACACCTTAAACCCGAAACCTTAGACGTTAAACCCTAGGCCTTGTATAAACTCTAAACGTTACACCAAAACCCTAAACCCTAAAGCTTAACCCTAAACCCCAAACCCTGAACCGAAAATCCTAAAGCTTCGACCCTTAAGCTCAAACCCTATACCTTGCACCCTGAACCTGAAGCTTAAAACCCCAAAGCTTAACCCTAAACCCCGAGACCAGGCCGGGTCTATTGGCTTGGCAGGGAGATCGGCTGCAGCCCACCGAGGTCGGCGTTCTGTTCAGGGGTACCATGAGGGTTCCTTTGAAGGGCTCTATAAGGGTTTAGAGTTTCCGAAAATTACGGATGTCCGAGATCCGGTGCATGAGGCTTCCGAGGGTCTTGGGGTTTTGGGGTTTAGGGTCTAGGTTCTTGGGGTTTAGAGTCCATGGGGTTTAGGGCTTGTAAGGTTTAGAGTTTTGCAAATTTGGGGTTGAAAGCTTAGAGGGTTTATTTGGGCAGCTTAAGGCTCTTCAAGCTGTCTATCAGGTCTTAGGGTCTGCGGGTTTCGGGATAATGCAAGTTGTAGACAAGGAGGCAAGAGGGCAATCAGAAAGGGCATGGAAATCGAACGCCGCAGCATTGCCTGAAGCAGTGGTTACAGGCAGTAGTGGGTTCTTGGATTGTCGAAGCCCTTCAGGTTCATCACTAAACAGAGTCAGTAACAGTGTTCACGGGCCCTAAGCACTGAATGTCAGAGAGCCGCGCCAAGCAAAGGAAATTGCCGCAATGCTCCATGTTTCTCACATCCATATCAGCGCTGCCTACACATCCCCAACCTTTAGCCCCTTGCCGAAAGCGCGATCACCCTAAGCCATGGAGCAAAAGTCGCATAACCTGCAAGACTCTCTTGGTACCCGTGTGCACCAATATACCCTAAGGTCGAGCTTTGATGCCAGGCGATCGAACCAAAATTGAAGCTGCCTGATGAATCTCCTAAACCTTTTTCTCAAATTGTTTCTTACCCCCAAAAAGCGTAAATCCTAAATCCTCAAGCCTTGAAGCCTGAACCTCAAACCCTGAACCCTAAACCCTTAAATCAAAACTTGAGCCCTAAACCCTAAACCCTGGAAAAAAAGAAACCTGAACCCTAAACCCCTAAACCCTCAACACAAAACAAATCCTAAACCCTAAATCCTTAAAAAGACAAAAACCCTGAACCCTAAACCTGTCAACTTACGACCCTGGCATCGCTCCATACGGCCCCCTGGCAGTTCCCCAGGTCATGACCGCGAAAGCAAAGGCTGGGAATGAAACCGCCCAGGTTTATTACCTTAAGGCTCCTGGACCCTTGTAGTGAGTTCCCGGACCCTGGCCTCCAAAGCCGAAACCCTCCCCCAGAAAGCCCGAGACCCTCTTAGGAGCCTTAGGGTAGGGCCTCAAAAAAGCACATAAGCAAAAAATAGGATAGGGATATCCCATATAAAACTCCTCATAATGAAGCCCGGTAAGGTAGGGATATCCCATAAAAAATTCTTATGCCTATTTCCTTTCTTGGGCCCCTATTTATGCCAACATCCGATCTACAAGGGTATATGGAAGTTTCCGAAAATAGGGGACCCTAGTATAGTACCCTATTTAGTAGGATCCTTGTTAGAAGGACCCCAAGTTAAGGTACCCCTAATTTTCGGAAACTCCCATAAAAAGGATTTATAGGGGTCTATGACGGATGCATGATGAGTCTGTAGGGGTTGAGACTCAATTCGTAAGGGGTCTATGAGGCAATTGTGATAAGCGGTTTCCTGCAATGGTCCAGAACATGGATCCCTGTATAGTAATCATGCCAGACATCTGGACGTTGTGTTTGCGGCCGTGGCTTAGGGCTTCATCCCAGGCTGGATTTGTTTGCTTTGGTGTGCAGATGAGACTCAAGCTGTCTCAGGTTTGGTTATAGTACGTTACTTTGTGTTGCGCTTGTTTAGGGCTCAGAGGGTTGTGACGGTTGGATCTGGTCCCCGTACACCCCAAGCTTGGAGTGCCTGATGGCTATCGTGCAGATCTCCAATGCAGATCTCCCAGCTTCATTCGGACGGTGTCTGGACTTATCGTGAGCTACTTTTGTACTGTACATGTTGCTGCCACCGGTTTGTCACAAGTGTTGTCGCAGCAAGATTTCACACATATCTCAAGTTTGAGACAATGCTACGATAGGAATTTGAGGTGTGCACGGAGCATACAATTGAGGCCTGCTTGAAGTTGAGGGTTGGGGGTTTATGGTTCGGGGACGTTAAGGGATGATGCTCTGGGATTTGTGTTTTGATGTAGGGCTTATGGCTGTATGCATGCTTGTTTATTGGGCGACTTCCGTAAACTCTAAACCTGAAGCCCACGGTTTAGGGTTTAGTTGCCTGCGCCATGACCTTTAGCTGCACGTCGCTAGATCTTTCGTCTCCATGCGGAAGTAGGGTTTTAGGGTTTAGGGTTTAGCAGGGTTTCATTTGTTATCCCAAAAGAAAAGCATTCACCACTGCTCCTCAGGAGCCCCTAGACCTTTTTGGGGGCTTAGGGTTTAGGGGTTTAGGGTATAGGGGTTTAGGGTTTGGGGTTCCTGTAAACGCCAGTGAAAGCGCTGTGGAAACTCCGCAGGCTGTCGAGTTCAAGAGCCTGGCACAGGCCGTGGCCATTTCGAGTTGCAGATTTGGGCTTTTGTGGGAAACGAGGGTTTAGGGTGTTGGGTTCAGGGTTTAGGGTTTAGGTTTTGGGGTTTAGGCAAAAGTTTCAGCTGGACTTGAGGATTCTCCGTGTTACATGTTGAACCAGCGGCGCCGCTGATTCAGGGATCCTCGGGAAGACGTTTCCGGCAAGGTTGTGTTGCTCCCTAAACCCTGAAATCTACACCCTATAAACCCTGAAACCCTTTATGGAACCCGTATAGAACCCTTTAATGGAACCCTTATACGTCCCTTTAAAGGATCCCTAAACCAAGGCCTTCGGAGGGTGCGCTGAACCCTAAAGCCTTCCGTTTCCCAAGGGGTCCTCTGTACCCATATAGAAGAATGTAGGATTTATATATGAGGAATTACTACTATGATGCAGGGAAGTATCCCCCCATAGCAGTAAATTGCTATTATGATCCAGGGAAGTATCCCCCATAACAGTACATAGGACCCTTTGGGTTTACGAGCCGCAAGCAGGTAGGCGAGGCCGGTGTTTTGGTGCTGCAAGCTCGCACTGTCTCTGCTCAGAAGCGAACAACCGAACCGTCTCAGGGATTTAGGGTTCAGGAGTTTAAGGTTTAGGGTCTAGGGTTTAGGGTCCCGGTGAAAAAAAAGGGCTGTGGTGACCACAGCGCATTCATGTGTGGCGGAACTTCGCTCCGTCTTTTATTCACCCTTACTGTTTCGGTCCTGGGCCGTGGTGTCGGGCGTCGTAGCGAGCGCTCAGAGCTGGAGGAGGGGCCTGGCATTGCGCTTCTGCAGCAAAAGCTCGTTTTGTCCCAGCTGCACAGAGAAAGTCAACAAGAGCGGCTGCACCATGCAGAACCAATATCTTGGTTGCATTTTCCGAAGGCTGGCAGCTCCTTCATAAATGCAATGATCCTTGGTGTTCTTCTGGTTGACTCTTTGGACTTGAACGTTTTGGGATTCTATGTGACATATAATAAGCAGACTACAAGCGTGCCTTTTAATTTTAGGAGGGATTCAGAAGTCGGCCAAGGATCCATTTGCCGGGCGTTTGCCCCGGCATGAACAGCAGCACCCTGGATCATGACTTACTCGGAGACTGTTGGCTGACGACATGGAATGCTGAAATGTGTCCCAAGATGTGTGACCCGGCCAAGTTTGTCTGCCCAGAGCATCCGGCTTATGAGAAGCATCCTACGATAAGCAACTACTCTTTGCAGCGTGGGAAGCTGATGGCGATGTTCCGTGATCCTGACCAGCGCATACTTTCCGGCTACCATGATGATGGCAACAATCTAGCCGCCATAGACTATGCCGACTACCTGCACGAAGACTTGCGAATCCAGAACTGCACATATTTCGGGGAGGGAGTACCCAAGCGAAGCTTGCAGGACTTCGCCGAATCCTGGAAGGGCGGTATGGCTTACCAGATTCTTGGTTCCTTGTTAAGGGGTTTAGTTTAAGTTACCATAAAAAGGAAACCATATTTCTTCTAATATAAGTTACCATAGCATAATATGAGGAAACCATATTATCTACTACAGATCCTCACTATGGTAACTTAGATGAAATCCTTTGACAAGAACCAAGGATTGTGGTGGAGCATCCGAAAACACAAACACTGGATCCGAACCGTCCGAGAACGACTCGGGACCAGGCGGAAGAGGCAGCTCGCAGGGTACCTTTCTCATAGTTGGAGAACATTTTAGGATCTTTTGGGGTTTAGAGTTTAGGGTGTAGGGGATCATAGTTGGATAACATTTTCCAAAAAGTATGTAGAAGAATGGCCTTTTTGTAGGTTTTGGGCCATTATTTTACTTACTTTTGAAGGTCTAGGTTAGGATCTTTAGGGTACTTAAACCAACCAGGAATAACATGTAAATGTCTAGTACTATCCCAACCATGAGCAAGGTACGACAAGGCTTTGCTTTCGTTGGCATCACCGAAGAGTGGGACCTCTCGATCTGCCTCTTTCATAAGATGTTTCTTAGGGGTACTTAGAAAGAGTTTCCAATTTTTGGTTATTATAATCCCTAAGAAACAGCTATTTTTTAATTTTTGCTAGGGTTCTAAGTTCAGTATAGGTTCGGGGGAGTCTGTGAAGCTAACAATTTCGTGGATACGCGACCTAGCTCTGATGGAAAATCCGCAGACACGGACTACGACACATCTGCACTGATGGGCTGGCACGACGATCTCGACGAAGTGGTTTACGAAGCAGCCCTGAATGTATTCCACGAGAACCTGATCAGCTACAATGTCTCCCATGAAACGTGCCAGGAATGCTACCGCCACGCAGGATTCGACGTTTAGCTGAACGCAATTTCGGAAGGTTCTTTGCACAGCTGTCTGTGCTGAGCACGGATATCGACACTCGCCCACAGACAGTGTAGGGCCGACATGAGCAGCTAGCGTTTGTAAAAGAGACACAGGACCTGCAATTGACAGTCTTTGGAGTCCCACGTAGTTCCTGAGCTCTGAACTTTGGCCAGCATGCTATGAAGCCCCAACATCTTCGTGCTGTGGCTTCAGCCTCTTTTCTTATGAGTTGGATTCTCGAAGTCCGGCCTGTGGTAGCCGGTAGTGCTAGCTGCTAGCATAAATGTACAATTCCTACCAAGATTAGGTCAAACACCATGTGGTCCAAGCACTGCTTTCGTAGTTGTGGTAGTGGTGGTGTTGATGGTAGGCGTAGACAAGACGGCGTAATCATGGTAATTGAAGTCTGCGTGGAGATTTGGGGTAGGGCTCGAGCTCTCCACACACAAACAAGTCGAATGCCTGAAACCCAACCGATGAAGCGTTCAACCCGAATCCTTAAATCCAGAAAGCAGAACACCCTAAGGCTCCATGTACCCATATAATTAGTAATAGTATAGACTTAGGCCTTAAAGTACCTATATAGGGAGACCTCAAGTATCTACTATAAAGGTACATGGAGCCTTTGGGACAGTCAGCTCGAAACCTGACGAAGCAGCGCTGTATCTCTGCTCCTTACTTGGAGGTTCATGGGACTTAGTAAGTAAGGGTATAAGTACCTTAATTGGGGGCTATAAGTAGTTATAGGTATAGTTACCTTAATTATAACCCTAATTACTAAGTCCCATGATCCTGCAAGTAACCGCCTGGCGGACGGTGAGGGTCACCTGACCTAGTTTCGATCTTCCTAGGCGCTCAACGTTTTTTGTCCTCATCCTCCACCCAGACCTTCCGTCTCACCCCTACCCCTGCCCCCTAAATGCCCACAGCCTGCCGATCTTCTTCTTGCCCAGAGCTTCACATTCAAAGTCACTTGATAGCCACATTTCCTGTTGCACCAAGTTCCCTTCAAGGTGCCAGTTTCAGACCAGTACGAACTTTTGTTACCAGGAAGCTTCTAAACTGGAGCGTATCTCAGAACCAGCTTTGGAACCACAAAATCTCACAAAACTTGAAACCCTAAACCCCACACGCCCTGCACCTTGAACACCCCCAGCGCCCTCGTTAAAGAGGCCTTTATATATACCCCCTAAACCCTAAACCTTAAACCCCTAAACCTTAAACTCTAAACCCTAAACTCTAAACCCTAAACCCCTAAACTTTAAACTCTAAACCGAGGCCCTGGGTGGCAATGCCACAGAGGTTGGCATGCGGATGGGCGCTACCCGGCCTTCAGGCCTTTCCAGGGTCCTAAAGTTCCCCAAAGGGTGCTAAGGTACCCCACAGGGTCCTAAAGCTAAGGTAATGCACAGGGTCCTAAAGTTCCCCAAAGGGTGCTAAGGTACCCCACAGGGTCCTAAAGTTCCCCAAAGGGTGCTAAGGTACCCCACAGGGTCCTAAAGTTCCCCAAAGGGTGCTAAGGTACCCGACAGGGTCCTAAAGTTCCCCAAAGGGTGCTTAGGTACCCCACAGGGTCCTAAAGTTCCCCAAAGGGAGCTAAGGTACCCCACAGGGTCCTAAGGCTCCCCAAAGGGTCCTATGTAATTACACGAACCATCCAAAATCCCGTAGTTTAGAAATAGACCTTCAATTAGGACCCCTAATATGACTTAAAATACATGCCGTAAATTAAGGAATTTTGCAAGGTCTGGGCATCTTCTCCCTGAGTGGGACTTACCTAAACCATGATTGTCATTACTGCTTCCATCAAAGTACTTACGAGACATGGCGCAGAGACTACTTCTAGTCTCCAGTGATTCTAGTTCCTTTCTTGGTTGAACAAATTATGTTATATCTAGGATTTCTAAACCGTAACCCCCAAGAGGAACTACAATGGAGACTATCAAGAAGGTTCAGGTGTTTGCATTTAGGATTTACGGTTGAGGTTTTTGAGTTGGGTCTAGCTTTTTGGGGTGTTATTGGTAAAGGGCAGTGTGATAAGTTGACATCGCTGCATCGTTAGGGTTCCGAATTTGGTGTTTGGGCAACTTTGGGCTGAAAATTTACCTTACCCACTTGGAGGTTCTTATTACAAATCCTAAGATGGGATTCATATGGACCCTAGGAAAAAGTAGGTTTTGGTAGGTTAAGGTAGGGTCCGACCACTCGACCCGGAGCCACTGCCTGGCAGTCCGGATCAACAGCACCATCGAAGCAGCGCTCTTCGATGTTGCGGCCTCAGTGTTTAGAGGGGGTTCAGGGTTTATCCTTAGGCTCCATTGTTGTTCCTTGTTATGGTCTATATTAAGGATCCGATAAGGTAACCCCAAAAAGGAACTACAACGGAGCCTATAGGTAGGGTATGATGGTTCTGGGCTTATGTGCATTGGTTGGGAGTTGTGGAGCTGGTGCCTGAATAACACATATGGTGATTCGTCCGTTCGATTAATTATGCTGGATCTTTCTGCGAGGGATTTTACACAGACATGATAGTATTGACAGCCCTTTGCTTTCGGCTCCTTTATCATAGCTTTAGGCTTTCCAGCTTCATACCGGCCTTGCCTGCAGTTTCTAGACTCGTCGATCGCAGAATGCACTCGTGTCCGGTTTCGGGGGACGTGGGCTGAGGGCTTCCGGGATCCTGTTCGCGCTTGCGCGGGTGCTTGGGCTCTTCGAGATGTATTCTGTTGTGTGAATAGACTAGTAGTCCCTGTCCTTATAGGCCCCCTTGTTAGAATTTTGCGAGAATACACTCCATAACCTCATAATGAGGCTGCTACATTGGCGGTATGCTTGAGATCATTTTCCGTAAGGATCTGCAGAGAGATAGTGTATTCGAATACAGCCACGGTTTGGTGTGCGAAAGTTCGTCGTCTATCCCTCATCTACCTAGACGCCCAATGTAGCCGTCATAATTTAGGTATCGATTGAGGATTATTGTTGATTTCCCGCGTTGTAACAAAGGTGGATCCCCAATTATGCATAATTTTGGGGATTCTTGAAATCGACACCTAGTAATGGCTACCAGCTCCAGCAAGATTTGGGGCCCAGTCTTGTGGGCAGTCTGACCTTGAAGTAGTGGTGCAAGGGCGAAAAGGGTCTCAGACATCCCATGCTCTCCGCGGAAAAGAATGGCAAGGCTACTTTTCTTCATAGATCTGACAGCATTCATTGCCCTTGCATGTCTTCCCTGGGACCCTGGGATTTGGGGTTTAGGAGTTTAGGGTTTAGGGAGTTTAGGGGTGTAGGGAGCCAGTTTTCCTTTGGAGATCCGCCCGAGTCTGACGCGTAACTCATGGGTGTCGTCCGGGTTATAAGGGCTTCTTTTTCTAGTCCTGCAGCAAACCTGCGAGATAGTTCCGGCATCCTCCAAATCTCCGCATCGCGAGCGACTCGGATTTCTCCCAAAGTGCATGCTTTAGGACCTTCCGGTTTAAAGGGTTTAAGGTTGTTAGGGTTCCCCGTAAGACCTGAGCCCTACAAGGGCCCGCGCCATTCAAGCCGAGCCCACGGAACCCAAAGCCCTTGTGCCAAGGCCTCGGTGGATCCTTACGAGACAGGACCAAGGGACCAGGGCTTTCTATAGTAGGAGTTACCATTGCGATTTGGGTAAGCATCCCCCGTAGCAATGCTTAATAGGGCCCCTGGGGTGTAACAAGTCTTTCAAGATTCGCAGTTGGGAGGCGGTCTGGGAAGACACACCGGCATGGTAGGACTGTTGAGGTTTGTTAAGCAAGTCTTTGGTTTCGGGTCCTAGAAAATAATCACCGTAAACGGATTCCGAGCCTAAATCCGAAACCCAGCACCACAACGGCTTCTGAGCCTAACCCAAAGGGTCCTATGTACCGATATAGTAGAATGCAGGGTTTCCATATTAAGAAGTATCCCCCATAACAGTACATATGACCCTTTGGGTAAACAAGCCATGCCATACATCTCTGTCTAGGACTGGATATCTACCGCTTCGAGTGGGTCAGCGATTTTATCCACGAGCCGGAGCCCTACAAAGAGAAGAGCCGGGATTCCTCAAATCCAGGGCCAAAGGCCTTAACTTCCTATAACTTGGACCTTCGTTTTTGGATCAAGGGTTTAGGTTTTAGTAACCCTATAAGCCCTTAGTAACCCTATAAGCCCTTAGTGACCCTATAAGCCCTTAGGTTTAACCTTAAACACGAGCCGCGAGCTATCTTGAAGGAGCTCCGAGCTTCCACCGCAACTTCGGGTTACGGGGCTTAGGGTTTAGAGTTTGACGTCTTGATTTTAAGGTTTAGGATTTAACGTTTAGGGTTTAGGGCTTTAAACTTCAGAAACCCCAAGCCGGAAAGCCCGAACTCTACGCCAGAAACCCAACACCCAGGACGCTCTTGGGTTTGCAGACTGCCAACCTGGAGCTCCATCCTTCCAGTCACCCAAAAGCCCTAAATACTTTTATGGGTGGTACTTTCCACATTTAATAGTAATATCTACCATAGAAACCCCCCAGTCCACCATTCAGGTACTTGCGACCCTTTGGGAGTATCATGGCTGGGCCGAAACACCCTCAGACTGCGTTGAAACATGTGCAGCATGTTCCTGTACCTAGCACTCAAGCATATTAGACTAGGTCGCCCCGAAGACACACGTGCATACATGCTAACAGGTACACATGCATACGCATATACTTGAATAATGTATTTTGTTGTGCGACCTATGTGCTCTGAATACTATATTATTCACGCGAATGTGAACATGTCCCGGAAGCCGTGCTCGAGACCTTCCCTAAGGGTCCATGCCCATATAACATATACGTCGACACCAAAGTACCTATGTAGGGAATACTTTAAGGCCAGGAGCCTTCTATACCCCCCAATGTACGTAAACCCTATGGTACCATTGAAAGGCACCCTTAGCAAAGCCGTATTTCCCTGAGGTATAAGCTCTACGCCTTGCTGAAGGCCGAGGGCAAGAATTACCTTTGCAGCGTGAGCCGGAGTCTCAGGGAAGAGGCAAGCGCAAGAAATTTCATGAAGGGTTGCTTGAAAGGGATCCCTGATTGGTTCCATAAGGGATCTAAAAAAGGCTCTGCATTACTGCCCAAAGGCTGCCAGACTCCTAGGTGCTGTACGGGGTATACTTTCCCAAATCATAATTGCTACCATACAAACCCTACATACTATAATATACACGTTCTTCGGACCCTTTGGGAAGTAGCCAGGATGGTTGCTCGCATGATCTGAACCCTCCGGCAAGCAAGAGTTTGCGTACACAGGGTGACCACGGCTGGTCTGTAAACATACACGGCGTCCTTCGATGCTAGGCATCCGATGCCCAACCTCCCGTCGCTTTTCACATGCCGATAGCATCCCCTTGTACCCCAGACGTGCGGACACCTGCGCTTCTGTGGGAAGAGAACAAGGACGGTCGTCACCGGTTTAAGACTTGGGCGATTTCTGTTTGATGAGACGTCCTGCTCGTGGTTTTTTGCTGAGGGGATAATTTCTGTCGCTTGAACTTGTGATTCCACCTTGTTTGTGGCACAGGTCATCGACGCCTCCCATGCTGGGGTGTCTTCGATGATAGCACCTATTATGGCTCTCTTGGTAGGAGAACCACAAGCACTGGAATGAAACTCGCCCAGGGTGCCGATGCCGGACGCCTAGGTGCTAAACCGAAACCCTTGCACCTTTGCCTCTGGTAAGGGAAGTAAGCAATACAGGGGCCCCATAGTCAGAATAGGGTTTCAAGGTATGTCATAGTACAGCCTTGTATAAATGGATCTAAGCGAATACTGTTGGGTTTTATCCCGGCGTGTCCATTATCGCAGCCCTCAAGTCAAGCGAAGCATCCGCAGTTCCAAGTTGGCCCCCTCTACTCTTCGATCCTGTAGCTCAAGTTCTCGAGTAAAAGTGACGTGCAGACCTTAATTCATGGGCCTGAGCAATTTAGACGCATTATGCTGTTCTCTCAAGACGACTATGAGGGTAGACAGTTTGTAGTTATTCCGGCCCCTTTTCACCAGGCTTGCAGGAATTCTGGTGGCTCTTCGCGTGCAGCTTTGCCCATCGCTACTGCCGCGTGCCGCAAGGAGCTTTTCGAGTACATCTTGAAGAGCTTTAAGCCCCTTGAAGCGTCATCCGGGCACGGTTTGCAATCACCTGTGGCTCCCCCGTAGCCCACAGGGTCCTAAATACGTACATGGTTCAAAACTCGATGTAGGGGTTCTTCAGCAGGAATCACTATTGTGGTCTGAGCAAGTATCCCCCATATTGGAACTTTTCATTGAGTTAAGGCCGAAACGACCTTACTCTCAGGAGCAGGATGCTTTGTCCGGTGCTTGTGTGCCTATACTCGTTTTTGAACTAAACTATGAGCCTTTGCGGGGCAGAGCGCCAAAAAAGGGCGTAGTTCAGGTTAATGATTACCCTGAACCCTAAACCCTTAATCCTACACCCCTTTCACACTAGTAGATCTCAGAGAACGAGAGAAGGAGACGTGAGCCTGGTGCCCGGTGGCAAGACTTGCTTGGAATTTGGACAGTTCAGGCTGGTTTGGGGCTCTGTTGCGGGACGACGAGAACAATCTTACAGAAATCATCATGCCTTGTTTGTGAATAGTCTGACAGTCATGTCGGAGGGAGTGCACATCGTGTTTACATGCAGGCTTGTATGTTGATCTGCCTGGGGGACTCGAAACCGTTTTAAGGGACAGGATAGACGCAATAGGTAACCTTCAGTTAAAAATTGTAAAAAAAGCAAGGGCTTCGGGTTTCCTGGGCAACACACACACACACACACACACGTTAACTCTGGGAGGTCGTCATGTGTGAACCTCAACTTCAATCAAGTCTGTACGCCCAATAAATCTCAGAGAAGCCCTGCGTAAACTGTACCAGTTCTTAAGCTTAATCCTTATTGGCCTTATTGCTTGGGTAACTACTAACTGGTCCCCATGATGTTCTTTGCCAGGCAACCGAACCGGACGGTTGAGGAGGCCATGTCGTATAATACCGGAGCCTCATGTATAATGTTCTGGGTAATAATATAATAACCTGGACCTATTGATTGTAAAGACGTACAAGGGAATGCTACCACGCCAAACCTCTATTTGGGCCGCGCGGGCTCGGGGCTCAGGGCGTAAGAATCTGTAGTATTCCTGTGGTCTCCGCAACATACCTAGTCTAATATTTCAGACCCGTTGGTGATGTGATTCGGTGCTGTTGAGGAGTAATTAATTATGAGTGTGTTGGAGATCGCATGTTGATTTTTGTTCATCGGCTGTTGTGTTTGGATTTTGGGATTAGGATTTAGGCTCCGGGCTTTGGAAGGAGAGTTGCAAGTGTCCAGGAGCCACGAGGGCAAGCAATGTTGTGTTCTAGTTACATATCCTCTGATGTTCGAGTTCGAGACCACGTTCCTCCTTAAGGCTTGTTGTACATGAAACGTACTTCTTCCGTACATGGGCAATCGAAGGTCCTAGTCCTAGTCCTTGTGAAGTCAGCCGGTTCTCGCACGCCACAGGAGCATCGCATTTGGGTACATGAGTTTTTTCCGTGATGAGGCCTTGGCAAGGTAGAAGACGCCCTTCTAACCCCGAAACGCTGAACCTCGTTATCTTAAGCTGCAAGACTCGTTTCTTGTAGGTCCATATTATTTGCCGTCCGAATACCCTATTCGAATTATTATGGCCCCTACATAAAGGTTCAGGGTTAAGCACTTCAGGGCTTCAGAGTTGAGCCAAGGGTTAGCTGATAGTGGAGTTGGCCCTCAACTCTAAAGGCCTCCTTCCCTTTACAGGTTTTGGGCCATTATTTTACTTCCTTTTAAGGGTCTAGAGTTTAGGTAGGCCCTTAAGCGTAGCCCTTCATTCATTGAGGGACCGTTTCGGCGTAGGTGTCTGCTGCCTCTTCGGCCCCGGTCACCGCACCGGTGGAGTCCGGTGAGGGCGCCCTCTGATCTGAATATTTTTCAGTCATGTGGGTGGTCATGAAAATTATGGTGCCGTATTATGATAAGGACCCAAAAAAAGGGACCCTAATTTTGACATCCACCCATATGGGAGTCAACTCGGCTTTGGCTCTCATGGGGGTTGACAAAAAGGATTTAGGAACATTCCAGGTAGGGTTCATAGTCACAGTCTCACTGGACTGCAGGTTCTTACACTTGAGATTTGAGTTTTAGGGGTTGTAGGCCGATTAAGGGTCTTTGCTGTCGGGTTTAAGCCTTTAAGGTTCAGAGCTTGGCCTCTGGGTGTCACCTGTAGACTTCTATTCAACACTACTCCGGCCCGTCACAGAGCAGGGCACGGAATAAGAATATCTGTGAAACGTGAAGGCAGAGAGCCTTCCGCCACAAACCTAGAAATAACATGCACAAGGTCTCCGAAAGGTGTAGACGGCTCATGTCATGCGTGTTCAGGTTCGGTGCTCAGAGCCCTGAGATTGCATCGTCATTTTCGTGGACTGCTGTGTTTGCGGTCCGGGGCGCGACTACCTATATTCCTTATCAAAAGATCCGAGCATAAAGCTCATTCGTTGTGTAGTTTTGGGGTTTCGAGTTTAGGATCTAAGCTGGTGGGCCAAGCACGCTGCTAGAAGCATTCTGGAGCCGCATCGAGGCTGAGATGTGGCCAGTGGCACATGCACTAAACCCATAAACTGCAACCTACAACTTTAGCCAGGAAAGCACGCAAGCATCATGCACCTGAAACTATAGTAATACTATAGTAATACTTCAATAATACTAAATACTGTAGTCATACTGTAATACTACTATGATAGTCACAAATTAAGAAGGCAAGCATCATACACTTTTCGGGATGGTCCTGCCAGGCTAGGCTTTTTCTGTGGCAACTTCGGATCCTCCAGTCTCAGAAGTAGCCTCTTGAACTCCGCCATGAGCAGCTTGCTCGCTGAGTTGGGGTTTCTTAGGGTTTAGGATTTAGGGTTTAGGGTTTAGGGCGTTGGGGTTTATAGAATCCTACCTTTGAAGGTTAACCGTGGTTTAGGGCTGTGGGGTTTATATAATATTCCTACCATGAAAGGGTAGCCGTTAGTTTTTTCTGGGCCAGGATACTCAGCCCCTAAGGCAGTATAAACAGTCTACAGGCAGATCAGAGGATGATTGGACAAGCTATCCCAGGCCCTGCTCAGGATCCAAGAAGTATAGATCCCTCAAGGGGGGGTTCCTATACACCACCCTTTCCCTGAGGGTCCACGTACCCAAATAGTATATACTTTGGCCCTAATGTACCGATATAGGGACTACTTTAAGGCCAATGTAAAAACAAAAAAGTTACATGGACCTTGGGCTTTAGTAGTACAGGGTCCGAAATAGGGGGATCCTTTTTGCCTTCCAAGGGTCCGGGATTCAGATTTAACAGCGATGCGAAACACATTTAGTCCAATGCTTTGCATGGTACACCGAAAAGCCTTAAGCAGACTCAAGACCTGAAGGGGTCTAATATTTAGGGTATACATAGACTCCAAAAGTATGTAGAATGATGGCCTTTTATTGGTTTTGGGCCAGTAATTTACTTGCTTTTGGGGGTCTAGGCAGGGCTTTCAGGTGGGTTAAGGTTTAGGGCCTAGGGCCATGCGGGTTCAATGAGGCCAAGTTTCGAGGGCTTCTTAAACGCTTCAAAGGTTTCCCCCTAAACCCTAAACCCTAAACCCTAAACCCTAAACCCTCCTATGTTTTTAAGGACCTTATTATAAGAAATCAGAATAGGGGGAACCTTGAAAGGAAGTTTTTATAGGGTCTAGGTAGGGTGGGGTTTCACGGGTTCAGGTTACACCCTGAAGCCAAGAATTCCCATGCCGACCCTATCCCTCCATGGACTAAGTATCCTGCATGTGTTCCGCTGGAGAGACAGAAGGATCCGTTGCACGCCATGCCTGGCTCCAATTTTCAGTCCACAATTTTCGACCCATGGTTCTGGAAAAAGCTTCTGCCAGACTTGCGACACGCTCCCGTGCACCTATCTGCGCAAAGTTCCTGCATGAACCTTGGGCGCTTGGCCTGATGACTTGGGAAGTGCCTTCTTCGATGATAGATATGTGTTGGGTTCACATGTACTTATAGTTTCAGTGTTGTCATGTCTCCACATCTTCGGTACCCTGCAAAACCGTTGCGGATGCAGATGCCTTGTCTGCGGCGGCGGCACATGCCTGCGAGATGCAATGATGAGGTTCAGAATTAGCAGGTTATCTGCGACAACCTGTGATGATACTGTCATGACCCTCTGAGCAATCGCGCCTTTGGATGCCCGCATCATGGGCATCTGCTTGAAAGAGTGAAGAACTCCATTGTACACATTCGCCACTTGCAAACCATTGCAAGGATGAGGTTCAGAATTAGCAGGTTATCTGCGACAACCTGTGATGAGGATTTCCTTGATCCTCTGAGCAAGTTTGCATGGCATGACTGCTCCATGGTCAACTTTTTGCCTGTCCACTGTCGACCTTGTCCTTGAGTCACGCATGTTGTGTGGGTTTGGCAACCCTAAGACTCCAAGTATAGAAGTAGTACTTACTTTGGGGCTTAACGCCGATAAAGAGTACCTACTTTGGGCTCTTTGGAGTCTTAGGGTAAGTTGGTATGTGGACGAGCTGGACGCACAGAATGCGCACGCCCTGGCGTTGTTTGTGAGATGTTAGCGATCACTATGCCGGAGGCCTTCAGAACCAGTACCTAGATTACTTAGGACGTAGATTTGACAAGCAATGATGACATTTACTTGGTATGGAACCCACAGACCCTTAAACCCCATCAATTCTTAAGCCCTTACAAACTTCCGGTTAAGACAAGCTTCTTCACGGTGTCAAACTACGCGCAGTTCGTTCAGAAAGCTTCCGAGAGCAGAAATGGAGACCCGATGATGCTCACGATGCGTGCGGCATCATGTGCATCATTGGGTCTTGGTTTCTCATGAACCCGAGTGGTCGCGACTTCATCTGCGCACATCTATTAAGAAAGGGCCCCCCCCCCCGCAAGGATGGGAGCTTCAGCCTCCGTAATAAGAGTCCGGGTCCAGCATGAGAGCAGAGTCCAGAAGCCAGACATGTCAGAGCCCTGCTTGCAGCCCCTGGAGAATCCCCAACAGTCCCAAAGCCTTTTCAGCTCCTGTAGATTCTGCTTACAGTTTTTCCCGCTTAGGCCGATTGGATTCTGCAAATGCGGGGGGGGTTTCTAATTACGTTCTGGGAATCGGATTTTGCAATTACGCGGGGGATTCTAAATATGAGGTTAACATAAGTAGCATTGCATTTACAGCTTGCTTAACGGTCCTTGCACTTGGTTGCTGGCTGACGGCTCAGAAAGCACATGATATCAGACACGGCATGCAAAAGACATGCAAGCATCGTTGCACCGTTGCACAAACCGAATATGGCCTTATACCCGCAAGCTCGCTCATCAATCCTTACGCAAGATTCGAACCCCATGCTCATGTCCAATATCGGCACCATTGGACCCAAGGACAATGACAAAGCTTGGCGTAATTGGTCAGATCTTTTACTGAAGTACGAGCCAAAGAACAACACCAGTTCACGAAACAAAGTCACACCTGAATTCGCCTCACTGTAGTAAGCAGACTTGAAACACCGTTCTAGAAGTTGTCACTAATTCATACTACATGCCTTTTATGTATACACAATGAAGCACACAGGACTTCGGATCACCTACAGTAATCCCCATAAAGTTGGAAACCGGGTTAAGGCCAAATAGTGCTGGGATTCCCTACACATTACTCTTAAGGATTGAGGCTATTGGGTTTCCAACTTTTTGGCTTCTACTGTAAGCTCCCCGGCATGAATGGCCCGCGTGGCAAAGCCTTAAAAGCGCAGACCTGTGCACAGCGCATTGAGGCCTTTCAGGCTTTAGTGTACATTCCGGGGGGTGTAATTTGGGTACGGCCCCCACTCAGTAATAGTTGAATTAATGTTCATAATATAGATGTATTCGGACCTGAATATAGCCCTATTATAGACTCTTACTGTAATAGGGGGCAGTACCTAAGGTGTAGTGTTTATAGGGGTTCAGGGTTTAGGGCTTTAGAGGGTTTAGGGTTTACAGTGTAGGGTTGCTGCAGTACCAAATTAAATCGGAATCTTTTTCCTTGAGGCGGTTTAGGTTTAGGGTTTAGGGTTTAGGGAGATAAGCCGGATGAATGTTCGAAACACCAGGTGAGTGTGTGCAACAGACTGGCGGAAGGAGGTTGCTTTGTTGCTGGTCAGTTTGGGGTTCATGGCACGGAATTTGCACTTCCTGGTTCTCAGGTCTGTCAGCCCACACGCCTACCTTGGTAAGTGAGATTTCATGCAAACTGAAGATGGTTCAGGGTTCGGGGTATAGGGGCATTGGCACTCAGAAATTCGAAACCGTTACATCTCATGTGAGTATGTTGAAGATGCAGAGCGTTGTCGTGCGGAACTCGTTACCTTGCTGCCATCAGATCAGGGGATCCGATGCCAAAACTACCCAAAGGCCCCAAAGTAGTTCCTTTTGGGGGTTCATATATAGAATCCTATAAGGTACTCCCAAAAAGGAACTACATTGGGGCCTCTGGGTAGGAATCATTCAAGCCAACACCTTCCCTCCATTCGAACACTACCGTGAACCTCAATCTGGTAGGCAGTATACCCGAAACTCTCCGAAACGCTACAGTAAACCTTGTACTTGGAGGTTCATGGGTAGATATAAGTAGGGTTAGAAGCCCCCTTGTATGAGTTATAAGTATAGTTACCCGACTTATATATCCCTACCTATAACTACCCATGAACCTCCAAGTAGAAATCATAGACGGCAGGCTGCGACTACCACTCGCTCCCAGGCCACCTTGCAGCTGGGTTGTTCGATTTAAGACAACAGACTACCTAGACCCCAAAAGTATGTGGAAGAATGACCTTTTATAGGTTTTGGGCCATTATTTTACTTACTTTTGAGGGTCTAGGTAATCAGGAGGACAGTTGTCTTCGGGCTTGAGAAACTCTAAGAAACCTTCAAGGGTTACGCTAGGGGAGCTATAAGGTACTATAATGTAGGGGCCTTAATAGTTACAATAGGGTTTTGGTGTACAGTGTACTTTTATTACTTAAAGGATCCTGGGACTTAGTAACTAGGGTTATAACTAAGGTAACTGCACTTATAGCTACTTATAACCCCAATTAAGGTACTTATAACCCTACTTACTACGTCCAATGATCCTCCAAGTACGAGTTCAAGACGAATACTAGAATCGCACCAGCGAGTTTCCTTTTGGATTCTTTTTCGTACGAAAACCGGCTTTCCCCTCATAGTTGCTGCGTGTTTGTCAATACCGGGTATCTTGTGTTTTTTTAATCTTTTTTGCTAGGGATTTCCATGCGGATTTCACGCAGTGGTGGAGTTCCAGGAGGCTTCTCTTCCTCGAAGAGTCTCGAGTTTTCTTGAGAACCAGCCAGCCATGCAAGCATATAATAATTACCTATGCGATTGTTGGGGGGGGGGGGGGGGGGGGTTCCTTAGTATATCTATGGGATAATATACCCCCAAAAACCCTATTGCAACGATTCAGGTCTTTTATTATTAGTGTAGTGTCGCTGGGTCCCTGGTAGCTTTGAAGGCGAGTCATCGAGCAAGCTCTACTGCAGTGGTCTGAACGATCAATGTTGAGATGGTTCTGCAAGGCTTAAACCCAAAACCCTAAACCCCTGTATGAAATTTTACAGATAAAGTCCCATGCAGCTAGTTATCTGATGGATTCGATACAAGAGTGCACTCAAAACCCTTTTCTTACTTGTCTTTGTGCTATAGACTAAACCCCAACAAGGCCAAGAGCAATCCGATGAACCCCTTATGGAGCTCCCTACAGGAATTTCGTTGAAGGGAATTTTTTCCCAACAAACCCTAAACCCTATATCCTACATTTTAGGGAAAGCCTTGGGAAGCTCGGGCAGGTAGTCATCTCTGATTTGGCGGCCGCCGACGCGGAGAACCTTTTCGCGAAGTTTCTTGACCCGGCATTTCCAGCGGTTTAGGCTTTACGGGTTTGGGGGTTTAAGGCTTTGGGGGGTGTTGAGCTTTATAAGGGTTTGGGGATGAAAGTGTTGTTTTGTTTTTAGGGGATTTTGAATGGAATTATGAGGGCTTCAGGGCTCTATGGGTTGAGTGAATATTCCGGGTGGTAGGGCCACGCGTATACCCAGGGGTATACCCAGACCCCCTTGACTACCCCGGAGCAGCTTTCTGGCCACTATATCAAAGGTTCTTTGGAGGGTTGACGGTTTACAGGGTCGTGGCCTACTTAGAGGTTCATGGGTAGTTATAAGTAGAGTTAGAATATAAGTCCCCTAATATGAGCTAAAAACTATAGTTACCCTACTTATAACCCCACTTATAACTACCCATGAACCTCCAAGTATACCCCGCGACACCTTGAACCTGGTGGAGGCTAAAGCTTTAATTGGGTTGGGGATTTTTGGGATGTCTGCCCCTTGGCTTCGGGGCTCTGTATCTCTCGCTTTCCAAGGTTTCAGGGCTTTCTGCGGGCGTTTTGAAGGGGTTTCAGACTTTACTTAAGACTCCAGTGCTGTGTGTGTTGGGCATTTGTTGTTTTAGGCTTACGGTTTGTGGGGTCGCTTTTTTCTCTCGCGCAGGTATGACTACGAAAACATTTCGCTGCTTCCCCGGGGTGCGCTGGCTGCTGCTCACCTGGAATTGGTTTTGGGGTCAGCTGGGAGTCGGGCTTGTTGGAGACTTAGTATATAAAACAACAACAGCACTAATACCAAGAATGACAATAGACGCATTTCCGAACTTTAGGTCTTTTTCAGAATGCCAAGCTGGGTACTACCTGACGGATTTCTGACCTAACCCAGGCATTGATTTTGGGTGAATTTTAGTTTCCCTTACTGCTCAATATAATTCACATAATTTAATTTGGCGGACTGTTGAAATCGGCACCCAGTAAACCCCTCGAGCCTGCAGATAGCAAGGAAGTTCTTCGGGACATCGGCTTGGAGAAGGCAGTGTCTTTTTCGACTGCGGAGCCTGCTGCTAGGTCTCTCCGCATAGAGCTTTTTCACCCTAAACCGAAAATAGGGGACCCCAATATAGTACTCTAAATAGTAGGATCCTTCTTATAAGGACCCCAAAATAAGGTGCCCCGAATTTTCAGAAACTCCCACATTAAGCCTGCAACCCTAATTTTGAACCCTGCCCCCTAAAATCCGCGAACGTTCGACGTCAAGCCTTGCCCTTCAACTCTCAAGCCCTACACTCGAAACTCCATGTACCAGGACCTCCCCCATGGCCCTGTAATGGAGCTCTTATCCGGTATATTAGAGGGTAGTTGGGGGGTCTAAGTAAAACCTATTCCAACCCTAGGCCTTTAATACCTCTTCAAATCCTGAAGGCGAAGGTAAGGACTTGGCTCGGGATGCAGTCTGAAAGCTCGAAACCTGAAGGTCCAAGTCCACACTGACCTTTACGGAATACATGTGTTTATATACGTACACATATATATATATATATAGAGAGAGAGAGAGAGAGTGTGTGTATATGTATATATATATATATATATATACATATATATATTAACCATATGAGGGCAGGGATTTTTAGTGAAACTTAAGGCATATTCCTTCATTCAGGGATTTTGGAAGGCCTGGGTGCTCTGCACCACGAAACTCTGAGGTCTTCGCCCCTAGACTCCCAACCCGCTCACCAGTGCGCTCTGTGTATGAATGCATGTACGTGTATATGTATATTAAGTATACAGAACGGGGGACCCTGGGAGTGCGCATCTGCCGTGATTTACGCGCAGATTCTAGATAGATAGATAGATAAGGGGTGGGTTTAGGTATACGCTCTTCGGCACTTAGCAGAAGGTCTTGGAGTGTTGTAGCGTACCATTATGCATGGGCCACAAGAGTGTATTCTCACAAATTATTCAATCATGATTCGGGGCGGAACGAATCACCCTACCCAAGACCCCTAACCGCCCACCAACCTCTGAATCTTCAGGTACACCCTGACACCCGAACCCTAAGCCGCAACCCCATTGCCCAAAACCCGGAATCCCTGCGCGCAACCCAATGCCCTCAACCCAAACACCCCAAACTCTAACTTAACACCCTCAACCCTAAGCCCCAAAATCCTAAACCCGGCACCCAAAACTAGGAAACCCCAAACCCCCAAAGCCCCAAATCCCGTGCAGCTCATAGGAGGCCAAAAGGGGTTTTAGCCTATGGGGGTTTAGTAGAGTAGAGATTGGGGTTCCCATAATCGGGCTCATATTGAGGAATCCCGACCCCAAGAATCTTAAACCCCACTTCTGGCCTCCCATCAGCAGGTCCTGGGAAGTGAGTTCGGAGCGTTTGTGAAGCTTGCCTTCGACTCCCACTCGGCTGCCGCCCTCCAAGAAGGTTTAGGGGTTAGGGTTTAGGGTTTCAGTCGTTTCTGTGGTTTCTCAATGGGGGTAGGATTTAGGGTTTAGGGGTTCAGGGTTTAGGTTTTTGAAGGGGGCCTTCTTAATTAAAGGGCTCCTAAGGTGTTCTTTACAGGGCTGTTGAGGGGCGATTCTTAGGGGTGCCTTAAGGTCGGCTTGTTTTATACTATGGGGTGTGGTAGATTCTTGTTATGCTCTGTGTTGGGGTTTATAGCTAGATTGGTAGCCAATGGGCCAATGGGGTTACAAAGCAAGAGTTAAAGTTCCAGAAGGATCTCACACGGTTGGTTGGAAGGAGGTTAAAACGGTGCTGTGAAGATTCAATCGAGGCCTCTGTAAGGGTTGCAGTTACAGGGGGGATTTTCATGGCCAAGGATTGCCATGCAGGGCATCAGCATGGGCAGTTAGCAGCTAGGGAACCTACATAGACCTGAGAACTTTGAAGTGTGTTGTCGCAATGGTGAGGATTTTCCCGCACCATTGCGGCGCTGCCGTACCACGTAATGAGATCCTGAGACTGCGCCATCTCGCAAAAGACACGGCCTCAAGATGCAAGGTCTGTTCATCTCTGATTTCTTAAACCCCAAAACCCCTGGATGTTAAAGCCTATGAACCTCAACCCAGCAACCCGAGATTCTTCAACCCTACGCCCCGCAATGTCCATACGAAACAGCCCCGACTTCACTGCCAAACAGCTGAATGGAGTCCTGCAATGTATGATTTGAGTTAGAAGCTGCCCCCACCCTGTAATAGTGCTATAATGGGAATTTAATAGGGCCCTACTATAATCCTTAAAGTCACTATTACAGGGTGGGGGCAGCTTCTATGGGCTGGGGGGTCTTTCCGTGCCTCTCTAGTCTGGAGCTCGGCCACAAAATTTAGGCTTTTGGGATTCAGCGGTTTGAGTCGCAAAACCAAACCGAGTAGTGTCAACAGATTATTGGACGAATGACATGCGCTGAGAGTGTCGTGTGTGCAAGAACCTAGGAAATGCCGGGTTGAAGTTAACTCATGGTGAGGGGTGGGGTAGCCTTGAGCAGGGGGTCCTATGGTGATGCAGCAAATTCGGAATTACTTTGCCCCAGTTCGTGGGATTTGGAGCGAGCTTCATGTAGCTTGTGTCTGAGGATTCCCACTTCCTCTCGCCCCATGAGTTCAAGCAGCTCTACTATCGCCTGCTGCATCGCTACACAAACCTTTTACCAAGGCTGCTCGGCTTCAGAGGATGTGGACTATGCATTTTTAGCGATGCGGTCGCGGGCTTTGGGCTTAGTGGGACGAGCGGACTTGTGGCTTTGAGTAGGTACATGAGGCTTTTCCGAATTCAGGAAGGGTATATATAGACGTTGATCAAACTTGTGTTATACCATAATTCGCGAGTACTCCAGGAGATGGAATGATTAATATATTGGGTCTTGGCAATAGGCCCACATGTTCCTTCATATTTTTCGATAGTATGCCGTAATATGCTCCGAAAGGTGCCATAACATGCCCCAAAAGGTGCTGTTCTATTCATATTCATTATGATCCCGATATGGGAGTTTCCGAAAACAGTGGTGCCTTTTTTCTGGGGTCCTTATAATAAGGATCCTACTACTTAGGGTATTATTTTAGGGTCCCCTATTTTCGGAAACTCCCATATTGCTCCCAAATCCAGGGGTAAAAGGAGGGACCCTTAATGAGGACGCCCAGGTATATACCGTTAATATAGCTATGATATACCCTTTTTATAGCCCATTATAGGGTAGGGTCCCCATTAAGGGTCCCTCCTTTTCCCCTTTGACCAAACCCAACGAGATCCGACCATGACCGTCTCAGGCACCCAGCCTTGCGCGTGACGGTGTACTCGGCAAAGAACCTCCCGCCTGCGGACGTCAATGGCAAGGCATGCCTTAACCCCGAAGAGCCTATATACATTTTTAAGGAGTTATATAAAGAAATCCTAAGAACTAACAAGGAGCCCTAAAAAGGTAGGTTATGCAGGGTTAAGTTGAAGCCTAAACTGAATTCCAAACCCTAAGCCCCTGCATGAGGCCCAAACCCTAAATCCTGAACCCGCTAAATGCCAACTCCTAACCCCAAACATCGAGCCTTACACCCCGTGCTTAAACAAACAGCTTGCGTTTGGGGCAGGTTCTTTCAGTTGCTAGTTGCTTCAGGGATATAGGGTCGTGGTTTAGGGTTTAAAGTTTAGGAAGTTCCATTAGGAAGTAAAGGATTGATGTACTCTTCTGCAAATCCCCACGACCCTGGGCCCTATGCTAGAAGCAGTGCTCCCGTGCTTCTGATATTATGAGCGATGGAAAATGAAACCTCTCGAGGTTCCACATGACTCGCAGTTACTGCTTACCCAAAGGCCCCACAGCCGTTCCTTTTTGGGACTACCTTATAGACTTCTATATATGAACCACAACAAGGAACTACTCTGGGGCCTTTGGGTAAGCTCGACTCCAAACAACAGCAGGGCCTCGAGGCTCAAAGTGCGTGCGTGCAACCACACATTCTCGAACATGCTTGCAACATGGGAGTTTCCGAAAGTTAGGGGTACCTTAAAAGGGGTCCTTATAATAAGGATCCTACTATTTAGGGTGCTGTGTTAGGGTCCCCTATTTTCGGAAACTCCAACATCCGACCTGACGTCTGCCATCGACTGGGCGCCGAGCCAAGATATCGCGACGGCCTGCAGAAGAGTGTTTTGGTCTGACACTGGTAGAAGCCGATGGGACACGACTGTACAGCCACTCGGCATCCATGATGAGCCGAGCAAGTTTGTTGCCGCAGGGCCCAAACATGCCATTTGGGGAGAAGAATCATCGCTGCCTCGCGAAGGCAATAAACGACACAAACGGGCAGTAAAAAAGGCACTAAAGGGCAGTAAAGGGCAGCAAAGGGCAGGAAAAGCCAGTAAACGGCAGTAAAGGGCAATGACACCAAGCAGTGAAGAGCAGTAAAGGGCAGTAAAAGTCACTAAAGGGCAGAAACACCAAGTAGAAGGCAGTAAGGAGCAGTAAAGGGCAGTAAAACGCCGTAGACGGTACTAAAGGGCGGTAAAGGGCAGTTAAAGGCAGTAAACGAGTTGCACTCGCAACTATCGTTATCAACTATCACAGCTGGCCGTGTTGCGATCCTTGGCACGAAAGTCCCAGCAAGACTACATGCCACAGTGTATCGGGACCCTCAAAACAGATCTCATCCTATTTACATCCTATGCTTGGGCTCCAGTGAGCTGTAGTATATAGTAGAATACGATCCGAACAAGCTGTACCCCAACGACTCATTCTTCAGTATGTAACCGATTCCCTGCCCTAAGGCGCAGAACGTTTCGGAAGTCCGTAAGCCCTGAACTATACCCGAACCTTGAATCTGAACTCCATACCCGAAAACCCACTTGCAGCCTAAACCCTTAGCCCTGAAACATAAACCCTGAAGCCCTCAATCCTGAAACCCTACCCATCTCGGAAGTCTCATATGTTTCAGGCTGATCCTTACTGCACAATGCAGCTCGCAGGTGCGGCATTCGACTGGGTTGTGATGATGGCTTAGGGGTTGTTTAGGGTTGTACGGTTGTTCAGGAGTTACAAACCAACAGCTTAATCTTTAGGTCCCCTAAGACACTGGACGAGTAACGGCTTTTGATGGCACACTGTTTAGGTTTTGGGGTCTGGGGCTAAGGGAGGCATTGCATGAGGTTATGCATGCTAGAGTCACACCTTTCAGGCTTCAGAGATGTCTTTTTTTTGGGGCTAAGGGTGATGGGATCTTGGCTTTGAGTGGTTAAGGATCAGGGTCCAGGTGCATTCAGAACTATAGTTTCGTCTCCGTCCGGTAGGGTCGCAGTGACCACAATCATGCTTCATTTCTCGTCCGTCTTTCGTTTCTGAAGCATCTTCTGAACCCGACTCAGCTTGTTTGTTCGGGGCGGGCGGGGCTCCCTCCGCCTTCGTGGGCACGGGAACGACTACCACCAACTTTGTCTTTGACAAAAGGATCTTGTACTAACGTGGACCAGCTCCTGGAGAAGTTCGACAAATGCCGTGGCCGTCAGCCACGGCAGTGGGGTGTGCGGCAGCTGCGCAGAGCAGCTAAAGCCGACAATGAGAGCAGGCTCCGTCTTCTTGGAATTGGTGCAGCCCTGAAGGAGACGGTCGGTTAAAAATTGATCCCTGTGAGGCGCACGATCCCCCAAGGCCACAGGAAGCAACTTGCCGGACACGTGACATGGATGATGAAGGAGCTCGCCGTATGTCCAGTGTTTAGGGGGTAACAGTGCTTCCCAGGGTCGCAGTCCCCAAAAATCTCTATCACAGAACATCCCAAAATGGGATGGAGGGCATTCTTCAATCTGGAATCGTGGAAAGGAATTGCATGATTCCATGGGTTGTAGCTGATCTGCGCTGGTATCCCTTATGCGTCTAATCACCAATAGCGGTTACTGAAGGAAGACCTCCGGTGTACCCTTGTCACTTGTAGTACTCTGAACCGCCAAGCCCTAAATCCTACTGAACACCCCCAGCTTCAGACCATACTTGTCAAAGTGAGGCACTCAAAACCACACCCTATCCCACATCCTCAACACTGGCCCTACATCCCAAGCCTTTAAAGGGAACTCCAGAAAGTTCGAATATGGTTTCAGGGTAGGATACCTTATAATTTACCATAAAGGGCTTAGGATAATCATATTCCAACTTTCTGGCTTTTACTGTAGGGCAACCCATGGCCCCCGAACACTTCTCCCAACCAGTACAAACCCACTCAGCCGTCACTGAGCCCAAAACCCAAAACCCTCGACATACTTGGAGGTTCACGGGTAGTCATAAGTAGCGTTATAAGCCCCCCAAATGTGAGGTATAAGTATAGTTACCTTACTTATAACACCACTTATAAGTATATACCCATGAACCTCCAAGTAGGGCTTAAGGAAACGCCGAAGCCCTGCAGGGAAGCCCAGGAGCATGACGCGCACGCGCCACGTGGAGAAGACCCTCGAGCCGAAGTGCGCCGTGGGGGGGGGTTAGGGTTTAGGGTTTAGGGTAGGGTGGGGGGGGGGGGGGGGGGGTTGAGGGTTTACCCAAAGGATCCTATGTACCGATATAGTAGAAAGCAGGGTTTCCATACTCGGAATTACTATTATGACTTAGGGAACTATCCCCCATAACAGTACCTAAGAACCTTTGGGTTAGGGTTCAGGATTTAGAGGAGGTAGGGCTAGGGGGGGTGGGGAGGGCGATGTAGGGTTTGGGGTTTGAGGGTATGGGGCTTGGGCGGGTTCAGGGCTATCAGATGTAGTGTAGATAGATCCCTGATTCATGAACTTTCCGGTTCAGTGTCAATCCCTAAGGCAAAGTTTTGTCCGAAAATCACGCACCGTTAGCCCTCGTATGTACCGCAGTGTCGCACGAGGTGAGGTTCAAGTTGTGAGACCAAAGAGCTAAACCCTAAACCCAAAACCAACCGCAAGCAAGCCTGGCCAGGTGGGGGGAGGAGCTGACTGGAAACTATGCATACCAGGCGGGGCGCAGGGCTTTGCATGAGCTTTCTAACCCTCATGCACGGAACGCCCTAGAAGGACCTTTATGGTAGAACCCTGCCAGGGACGCTTACAGGTCCCGTATCGAACCATCCAGTGAGCCGTTCTGAGAATTGTTCTATTATTATTTTTATATATTATATAAATTTTTATGAATTATGTAATTAAATAATTTGTATTATTTGAATGTGTTTTGTGTGTGGCATGGTGGGCTCTGGAGTGACTCGGGGCTCATGGTCCGAAGACCTCTATGTCAATATGTGTCGTCGGGTTGAACGTGTATAGGGTGCAGAGTGTAGAGTTCGGGGGTTTGCAAAGGGAATCGCACCTGCTGTTTCAGGAAGGATTTGGTGTTTAGACTTGGACATTTGTTGTCCTTGCAAGCTACGATGGGGTCTTGGTTTCTTGTGCTGTGGGGTCCTCAGTCTTTGAATCCTAGCTTCTTGCCTTCCAACCCTACACTACACCCCAAGCCGAAAGCCCTCAACCTAAGATCCGCAACTGACACGACCCTAAACCCCCACGCCCTTCGCGCCGCTAAACGGCGCAGAATGCCCCGAGCCCTGCACCCTGAAACCCTAAACCCGAACGAGGAAGGTGATGATCTTATGTTTGAGATCATGGACTACGACCGGGGGAGCGTGGTCGGAGATCTCCTGTGCACCTGTGTCATCCCGAACAAGGACCAGGGACACGGCCAGGCTTCAGTTCCAAAAGGTACGGTTGATGATATAAGTCCTGCATTACCTTATAATGACCCTAGACTATGGGATTTATGGTATATTCCTTACTTTGGGTATAATGCAAGACTGTTACCATCAGCAGTACTTCTCAGGGTTTGGGTTTTGGGTTTAGAGCTTAGGGTTTGGAGCAGAGGGTGGATGTAGGAATTCGGGTTGAGGAGGGTCCCAGGGCTTGTGGGGATTCGAGGATCGGAGAGCATGATGGAATGAGGGCACCGAAGGAAGGCCGAAGCATCGCAGCTACTATGGAAGCCTAACTAATCGCCAACATCAGTCCT